ATCCAATGGAAACACCTCGGACAGAAACAAAACCTACAGAGAATGCATTGCTAACACCACTTAAAGATTTGTCATCATCATATTTACCAGATATTTCAATTACAACAAGTAAACCAGCATTTGTACGGAAAACACCAGGACAATATCATTTCCCAAAACTGTCAAATTTTTATGGAGAAGAAAACAAAGGCGAAGTTACCTGGGAGACATTTAAATTCGAAATTGAATCGTTAATGACAGACAACATGTTTACAGAGGAACAGATCCTATTAGGAATAAGAAGAGCTGTAAAAGGTACAGCAGGAGATATTGTCAGGAGGTTAGGGACTGGAGTAACAGTACCAGAAATCGTACAGAAATTCAACAGTACTTATGGAAACATAGAAAGTCGACAAACCATACTTAGAAAATTATATGTTTACACACAAGGTTTCGACAATGTTAATACTTATGCCTCAAAAGTTGAAGAGTAACATACACAAGCAATACAACTTGGAACTATACAAAAAGATGAGCGTTTACTACATGAAGCATTAGATCAGGGACTTAATGCAAAATTTAGGCACATCGCTCAAAATAAAAGTAATAGAGAAAAACAGAATCCCTAAAAAAAGCCCAACACGTCCAAATTGTAAAATGTTGCAGGCTCGGTTTGATTGAGCCTGTTCATGGGCGGTACTGGAATGTGCAAATTACTGTCCAAACCATCCTAGACTACGTTCGCATCAAGATGGAACTTAGAAAATTCAAAGTAGACATCAACAATGTCATGTTACTCAACAAAGTAATGAAAGCCAAAGAGAAAAAGTGAACCGGAAGAGTTAAAAGACATAGATAGTTGAAGACCTTTCTGTTAAGATGGACAAATTTCAGAAAGAAAAAGAGCTGAAAAGACGGATTAACAACAACGACAAAAGTCATATTTAGGAGGTCAACAACAATGTAGGAGAGGTTACAGATTTCAGCAAAGAAAAGGGTATTATAGTTGATGGTATAGAAATGGGGGTTATCAAGGAAGAGGAACATATGTACAAAGAAGACCACTAGCATTCAAAACATTAATGGGAATTTGTTATATATGTAATTAGAAAGGATACATTGCAGGAGATTATCCCTAGAAGCCAACATAAAATAAGGATTTAAAAGAATAAGTGCATTTGTTCAGGGATCAAACAAGAGCACTGATCCAAAAGATCTCAATTTAGTTGGAGACACTAATTAGGCTGACATAATGATTATCAAACAACAGCTTTACTAGATACTGGAAATTGCGTCAGTGAAATTTCACATACATTTGTTGAGAATTTTTTACAAGACGCAACAGAATTTCAGCCAATTTACCATCTGTCAGTTCTTTTTCAATGAATGACTTTTTTTTTACCGAAACTTTGCATAACCTTTTTAACAATAATAAATTTTGAAAACGTTGATAAAATTTTTGAGTGTTTATTTTATTTCACTTTATATTTTTCAAGCGAAATACAGAGTAATTATAGTGAAATTAATGTGAAATTTAATTGGTTTACGACATTGAAATAAAGTTCTTGTTTAGCACGCACTTTTTGGCGATACATTGTGGCATCACGAAAACAACACTTGAAACGTATGTACAGAGATAAGGACTGAATGATTAAAGATATTGGTGTTTTCTTAGTTTGACCATTAAAATTTTCTATCACAATCGAGATAGTTACAGAACAAAATCCAACAAAAATTTGTTTTTAATTTATCAAATGTCGCCGTCAATGTGTCGGTTTGAAAATACAAAGGGAGCAAATAGGAACGGCAAATGCGATGTTGTGGCCTTCTTTGTTTATATAAGAGAAATCCCCGACAGTGTTAAAATTGTTATGCTAAATATCTGGAAAAAGTGATGCCTTGGAAGCATTAAAAACAGCAAAATTTCAGAAAAATTGCAGACTCGGTTTGATTGTGTCTGTACATGAGGGATAATGAAAAAGTGCAACATCGCTTACGCCCCCCTAGCACCGGCTTTAGCGGTACTTGATTCTCAATACTAAAAGTACTGGGCTAACACTAACAACATCGTAACTTTGTCATTATACACAAAGATTTTTTAACGAAGAACAAAAAACGGTGTTAAACTCCAAATAAACACTGGTTAGGGACTACATGTAAATGCGGCTGTTATTTTTACTCTCTCTATGATATAGTTAACATTTTACGACAACAGTAAAATGCATTTCTATTCTTACAATGTTTTCTTTTCATAATATGCTAAATTAATAGCTCCATAGGTTTGACATAAAATGTATATGACAAAATAGTGATAATAACGAATCCTTAAAGCACGCTTAAACGACAAAATTGAAAATGTGACAGGCTCGGCTTGATTGAGTCTGTTCATGGACTGTAATGGTAAGTGCAAGTTACCGTCCACACCCCCTAGCACCGGCTTACCCATTACTGCATAAGTATTTTGTGAAAATGGCTGTTTTCATTGAAAAGTCTCCCGTTACAAGTTTAAATTGTTATAAAACTATAAAGACTTGTTCAATACTAATCAAACTTGACACAACTGTTGACTAGAACATTGCCTTTGTTTCGCGTATATATGAGGTAAAGGGTTAAGCAGAATTCAACATTTTACATGATTTGGTAAAATTTGGAATTTCTGTGTTCATTATCATGGAACCTTCAATGTGACACTTCCGTGCCATTCCATGAAAAGCGGCCTATGATCCCCAAGTAAAAGAATGTGTGTGCCCTAAAAGAGAAAGCATTGGGCGAAACTAAATAAAATGGAATTTTAAAAGGCGATCAAAGGTTAAGTAGCCTGTATAACACAGATAAGACGTCATAAGACAAATTTAATGGCATGGCGTTCTCAATTTTGTCCGTGGCATATCTCCTGCACACATTAAGGAATTTTAATAAAACTTTATAAAAGTGTTCACCACTAAAAGAAGCTGTGTTGCGCACATAAACCAGTTTTCTAGGTCAAAGGTCAAGGTTACACTTAGAGGCCATTGAAAAACGGTTGTCCGGAGCAAAACTTCTACATGTTTGGAGATATTTCGATATAACTTCCCACAAATGTTTACCATGTTGAGGCGGAGTGTCGTGGGCAAAATTAAGGTCCTTGCAGCCAAGGCCAAGGTCACGCATAGGGTTCAAAGTTCAGATAAAAATCTGTATTCGGACCATTTAGTCATTATTTTAGGGATTAAAACACAAACGGCCATTATAATGTATCAGGGTGTTAAACATGTAATAAAGGTTAATATTTGCAAGGTCAAAGTCACCAAGGATGATAAAATATAGAGATTTTGTCGAGAGGATATCTCCTACACATACGGAGGGAATCTTATGAAACTTCATAGAAATGTTCTATTATGAGAAGCAGTGTCACGCATATAAACCAGGTCTCTGGGTCAAAGCTCAATATCACACTTAGAGGGCATTGAAAAACGCTTGCACAAATGTTTATCATATTAAGGCGGAGTGTCGCGTGCAAAATTTAGGTCCCTCTGGTCAAGGTCTAGGTCACACATAGGGTTCAAAGTTCAGATAGAAATATGAAAATGTGTATTAGGGCCATTTATTCTTCATTTATTGAGGGATTGAAACACAAAAGATCATTATCATGACTACCATAGCGAAGCTAAGATTTGTGCATATAATCCAGGTTCCTACTACTTAAGTCAAGGTCACATAAAGATGTCAAATTTTGTATAATGGGACCATTTAGTCATCATTTATTGATTGATATATTGTAACACAAATGACAACTACCATCACTGCAAGTGTGACATAGGTAATTAAGGTTAATATTTGCAAGGTCAGTGCCACCAATAAAATATTCAGATATTGTCCGGATATTGCCAAGAGCACATCTCCTATAATTATGCAAATCTATAATGCCCTTTGACAAAAGCTTTTGTGACAGGCGTATTTCACGACAATATTGCAATTGTTAGTAACTTACTTTCTTGTTCAGTAAATAGTGAAATGATCACAAATACATGTACATGTACTTATCTGGATAAAGTGTGATTCCTCGGAAGCAAAAGCCACTCCCGACTGTGATATATTTTCTTAGTCTAACACAATGATAATATCTATAGTAGAAGACAATACATGATACACTCTTAGTGTGTTAATCAATCTGATTAAACTCAGCTCCTCATTAATGATCTGACGGTCACAAATAGGAGTTCACTTTCTTGCAGTTGTGCCCTTTTATAGGCGAACTTTCAAAACTTTGAAAGAGATACGATTTCTAATTTTAAACGCTGAAAAACCAATACTGAGTAGGTAATTTTCACAATTCTAACTAAAAGAACAAACATGACGTTGTCCATATAGCCAAAAGGTAAACTGGCAAAAATAATCTTGCCCATTAAAAATTGAGTCTATTATTTCGAGACCTTTTTCTTGCAAATTACTTCAAACATTCTTTCTCTTATAAAAATCAACAAGGACATCGAACACAATAGTAAGTATACATAGAACGGATACGGTATTTCGGTCTAACCTACGCATGTAAACAAATAGTAATTTAACGATGGGAGTTTTCTACTAAGTTTATTCCAATGTATCTACTCAAAGTCCACCTAAATTAAGTTAATTTAAAAATATAAATGTGAACAGTTCATAGTTATGGTGGTAGAAACCGAAAGTACAACATATGTACAGTTGTCATTTATTTGGATATGTTTATAATTGTAAATCAGTGAGCATTTTTATATTCATTATGATTGTCAGACATCTTTTCAAAAACTATTTTAGCGAAATAGACTTAAATTTCCTATGGATATCAAATACATATTTACATTCGTTAAACATTATCAAATAGTACACTCTCTGTTTTCGTTTAAATCTAAATCCACGTTGCAGAACAACTTTCGATCCGTATTAAGTCCGAGGTTGTTATGAATAATAACCAAGTCGTTCCGATTGAATGCATGGATAAAAAAAACATTCTCGGGAAATCCGAATCATAATAAAGGCGATAATCAGAAATAACTTAAGTCAGATTGTCGTGTTCATTTATATGAAACATATTAAGAAAAGTATAAAGAGCAGATGATACAAGACACAAAGGCTTAAAAAAAGATTGAAAAATAACATAAACACAAAAATAATTAACGTGCATCATACGATTTCAGACGAATGTGTAAATGTGTAAAGCTTTCACGAATATTATTATTGACAAATTGACATTAGCAAAACAATACTCTTGTACTCTGTTGTGTTACATCAAAAATATGTGACAAATGTTTAAATGTAACAAAGCTTTCATGAATTACTTGTATTGAAAAATGCCATAAACATATCGTGTACACACTCTTTCGTGTTACATTATAAAATATGTGACGAGTGTTTAAATGTATAAAACTTTCATGAAAGAATAGAAAAAATTGTCATTAACACAATGACAAATCATATGCTCTTCTCTTTCGACTAATGTAAAATGTTTAAATGTGTATAGTGTGGCAAAGGATTGAGAAAGAAATGTAAATTTAATAAACGAATCTACCATACATAATACACAGGTAACTTAAAAGCAAAGCGTCATATTTTTTACCATTGATTATGCTAATTAAACAAACATTCATCAGTAACAGCGTTTGCAACGAACGCTATACTCATCACTTAAATTACTTTTTAATTATGTATGATCATATTATAAAACAAAAAAGGCCAACACCATCAAAAACAAAAGTCACACGGCTTAGAAATGCTCCGGTACATCCACTTGTATCTGCAATAAAAAAAGAAATGTTTTAACTCAAACTTACAAACTATTGAAAGTTATAAGAATTTAGATTTACACATTTTATTTTTGATAACCTTTTATAAAGACAGAGATTAAAAACTTGATGGCCCACAACTTGAAAGGACTCCTCTAAATTTAAAATTTATACACACAATTTATGACATTTTATACCACTTGCGTTTATGTACTGTTCAATAATTCAAAAATAACTGCTATCATATTTTCGTGTTGTTCAATCTTTTTCTCTCAAAACATATAATATTATTCAATAAATCCTATGTTTATTTGTTAAAGACGTTTTCGGTAGTTTTCTGTGCGCATCGTTATGCGCATCCAAGAAAGATAATCACGGATAATTACTCTTCAAATGAATGTAAAGTTGAATAGTATTCGGATAAGTGTTTAAATTTCGGCTATAAGCAAATAGTGAGTAAATAATACAGAATAGATATTTCTAAATGTTCAAAAGGAGATTGGTTCAAAAGAATAAGAATGTCGTTTAGACAACATCACATAAAGTATTTCTCCAAGCATTAGTACGAAAGCATTGATGATAATTCTGCGCGCGTTACCCCACCCACTTGTGGTATAGTGACAAAAGTGCGTCGCGACTTGATTACTGGCAGACAACTTGGCAAAGAAGTTTAAAATGATATATTTTAAAAGTGTTGAATGAAAAACAAAATTAATATCCAAGAAATGTTCAGAATTTCATTATTTTCTTTGTAAATTTCTGAATACTTGCTTACTGTTCGGGTACATGTTAGTCGAGTGAAAAAAATAATATGGCCCTAGATATGTTTTAAAAAAATATTCAGTATCATTTTCTTAATGTAACATCAAAAGAAAAAGAAATTCTTATTACAACATGTTTTATATTTGACAATACATTTAGTATAACACTGATATTTCTTAAGAAAGCGTGGTAATTTTGTCAGTTGGCATACTGTATGCGGTAACCATGGAAACTGCCCGTTTACAAAAACTAACACTTCAACATATATACTTATTTCTATTCTTGAATCCACAATCAAATGTTACTTGATATATCAATAATCTATAAAATTCTATAAAAGAAATTTCTTGATAGCTTTAATTTTTTACAGAAAATTTTCATGTTTATTTTTCTCATTTTTTTGTTTAGTTAAAAAGCATGAAAACTCATTTTTTAAAGAAATATGTCCAAATTATCGTTTGTTTTTATACAGAACCCTAAGATAAAGCAAGCTTTGTATAAAATTATGTTTATTGTGAGTGTAATAAGCTATTTTATACATTATTATAATACAGTTTGGATATTTTGACAATTTTGAGATATACGGTTACCATGGAAACTGCCATTTTTCAAAAAATCCAACACGCCAACATATATTTTTCTTTTTCTTTTTGAATTTGTCATTAAATTTTACACAATATACAAAAAAATTAGAAAATTCTATGAAACACTTTTTTCAATATCTCTAATTATTCTTAGAATTTATGTTCATTTTTCTCATTTTTTATTCGGTTGAGGAACATGGAAAACTCATTTTTTAAAGAAATATGTTCAGATTATCATTTGTTTCATACAGAATCATAAGATAAGGTTATCTTTGCATAAAACAATGCTCGTTGTGTGTTTTAAGCTATCTTATACATTTTCTATTCGTAATAACACAGTTAGGCTATTTTGACAGTTTTTAGAAATACGGTTACCATGGAAACTGCCATTTTACAAGAAATCCAACACGTATATTTTTTTTTTATTTTTAAATTCGTCATTCAATTTTACTCATTATACAAAAAATTTAGAAAATTCTATGAAAGGATTATTTTTTCATAAAACTGTAGAAAATGTCTTTAAAGGAATAATTTACGTAATAGTCTTGATTGTATATTTCATGTTTTGTAAAGATAATATTTTGCTTTGTGCAATTTCAAAATAAAATCACAGAACATCATCTATCGAGAGACATTATTTCGGTCAATGTGATTGTTGTAAGAGAGAAGTGTTGGTTTACAAAAGTTAAATATTTGCTGACGTGTATTTAAGACGTGAAAAATTAATACAGTTGCCGTACAGAGGTTATTGGTCGACCTCTTCAGAGATAACATTGTGACTACCATGTTCTCCTTAAGTAAAATAAACTTACCGGGTTTGGTTGGCTCTGACAATTCATTGATTGATCTTGCAATGGCATCTGATGTCTTCCCAAGGAAGTTAATGTTGTCCTCAGTAAGCATCGTAGCTAGATCATCACAAGGATTGTGGTAGCATTCCACCATATCTCCACGGAAATTTGCTGTATAAAGAAACCATTGCACAATGATATAAACAAACCGCGATGCAAGTAATAGTTTGTGTATATCTCCCTAGGCAAGGATGTCATCAGTATTTTGAGCTTTGTTAAAAAAAATGACAATAGTGATGATGATGTTGATTATCATGATGATGATGATGATTTTTGATATATTACCATGGAAAAGTCCTGCACTAAAACATCAAATACGTAAATATAAAGCAAAAGGTAGGTGGATAAATTCCTAATTTGTAGCAATTCGAATTTACTGGTAGGACTCGAGTTCGCGGCCGTAAAGGACAAGTGATTCGAAGACGACTACGTTGAACACCTACCGTGGAGGCAAAACCCAGTAATTTGTCTAAGATTTTTTGAATAACAAAACAAATACTACATTGACATTGCGTGAATGATTTCCTTCATGTAATGTTTTATAGCTATACTTTATTACTGAAGTGTTTTTTTCTAAAACAAATAATACCAGAACAAAAATCAATTGAAATAGCTCTCTTAAAGTGTAAATCAAATAAATTCGAAAATTTCTCAATTTTTTTTTTATTTCGCACGCCTCCAAAACGTTTAAAAAATAAACAATTTTCAAAAACGGTTCAAGAGTTTTAAGAAATATGTAAATATTAACAATCCACATAACCTGGGTGAAGTGTGACTAAATTTAGATTTAGTATATTTACAGTGCATATTTTATCATATGTACATGATGTCATGTCATACTTATAAGCCCTTTATGCTAGCTTAAATTACTGTACAAGTAGGTTAAAATATATAATAAGGTTTATCGGACCCACCCAACCACTTTATTAAGCTGAACCTGTATACTTATTAACTAAATTTATTTTTCAAATTCTACCTCAAATTAATTTTGCATATTTTTATGTACATGTTATGATCATGTCATAAAACTTGTTGCTATTAACATGAATAAATAAAAGGATATTGGATAGTATAAAATCAACAAACTACTTTTAAACGTTTTATCTTTAATTTAATGCAAACAACTATGGTGAAAAAGAAAATAAAACACTGTTCATTTTTACTGTAAATGTAGATATTTAACTTAAGAAGTAACACTAATATAAATTACATTTGACAATTTCTCTCTAAAATATCGAGACCTCTAATAACGCTCATCATCTTGAAAACCTATCTGCATGAAAATACCGATATACATTATATAAAAACGTCCGAACTCAGTAGATTATGTTCATTGTTCATGATATTATATGATAATTGATGCGTTCAATTGATTTGAATCTCGTGATTTTCATGCATACATCTATGAATATTAATTAAGCACATATTATGTGCACATGAATACATCAGTATAAGATACAGGACAGTTTCATTTAGACACATATCTACAATGTTTTCAAGATCTAACTATCAAATGCTATGTAAATTGTGGTAAAAGTATATGCAGCAACTGAAAATTTACACACGTAATTTATTCTGTCATTATAAAACAAACGCTGAGCTAACATATCTACAACGGAATAATCTAATTATGCAATTAAAAGCAGGTTTACTTCAGATTAAAGATGCTTGTCGTTATGTACTGAATGTCATTTTAGATTTAACAAAAAACTTAAACAATTATAGTTTAATCAAAACGAAATTTGAAAAGAATGTTCATAAATGCGAACGGTTTAATGGTATAATAAATCATAATAACTTCAACGGATTAGCAACACATACAGAGGGAAATACTGATCAACACTGCAAATAAAAACAAGGAATTTCATTAATTAACTTTCTCATGAAATATTATATTGTAACAATGGACAGAAAAATCAATGAGGGGTTCTCAATCTTGACAAAACGGAGCATTGTGAGATGTATAAATGAACCTTCATTAAGTTAACTTAATTTCTTACAACATCTATACGCAGGCGATAGGCAATAATATTTATAAATACTTGATTAATATGCACAGTATATAAAAAAAACTTGATTAATATCCATAAAAATATGAAAATTATGAACAGTATATCATTTGAACACATCAATGATCATATTATACATGCATATTGAACACCATACATGTATACTGAGGGTACTTGATAAGCACGGATGTTTTTGTGTGTTTGTGCATGAGTAGGATCGGTGGTCTCCTTATTTTTGACAAGATTAATAAGTTCTTGTTTAAATAAACAAACTTCTTACGTCACTAAAATATGTACTAAGATATAACACTGTGGGTAAGCAACTTTGGTCATGTGACCACAAAAGTCAACGTACACGGCCAAAATAGCTCGGCTAAGGTAAGTTTTTTAGTGATTATTTTTCTGTCAAGCCTTTTTAAAGTATGCTACATAGCCTACCGACCGCGGCTGTTCCGATGCTTTCTAAAAATGTATTTAGTTTCGTCTAACGTTTTGTATTTTATGAGAACATTCAAACAATATTTGCAAATTGTCGATGACAACGTACACACTATTGTGTGAAAGTGTTGATGAAAACTTAATAAACGATACGCTTGTCAGTTCTAAGCAAAATTTCAGATCTTAAAATATATAAGAGGATTTTTAAATAAAAAAAGAAGTGGTTTCCTGCTGTCATGTTTTGTATTTATTTAATAATTGACCAACTTACAGAAATGTCAACGTACACATACAGTCTAGAAAATGTTAACGTACACACTCCCAATTTAGTTTGATAGTGGTCTGAACATGAGGCTGCAACTTCGGAGTAGGTAGCTTTTTCTTACAAAAGTTGGCTTTCAAATTTAGATTGCCCTCTCAAACTGTATATAAGTACAGGTTTTTACAAAGGAAAAAAGTTGCAAGTATATTCATATCATCACAAATAAGCTTAAACAACCTTTAACTTTTTTATAATGTTATTTATTTGTTCTTTTGTGATTTTCTTTTAGAAGAAAAACTCCAGTTACTAAGACAGGCTAATGATTTGCTGAAACAGCAGTTTTATATACTGTATTAATTTAGATAATTTTACTGTCATTTAATAACGAAAACAGCCAGGATAAGCGTCTCTTGTTCAACCAACCTAGTGCCTTCTGTAGCACCAAACGTTTCCGTTGACAATGACGCCGAGTGAATTACCGGTATTTCAGCAGTTATGTCACTTTGACCCTATGATTACATCACGAACGTTCTATTAACATTATATTTTCAATAATATATCTCCTTGCACTAGTTATGTAATTGCCACATGTTATTGACATAGTTATTTAATACATGGGCTAGCTTAATAGACATGATATGTATTTTTGCATTTTCTTTGCCCTTTTAGTTTAACTGCAAATTTTGCAAACCATGTCTGCTAATTTACAAGTCTATAATATCATATGTATTCAACAAAAATGCTCAAGTGCCATACATTTTAATAATTTGCATTGCAATCAAAATTTTAAATTCAAGCAAACCATTTTATTTGAGCAAAATATCGATAAAATGTCTGCATTGTAACAATCATTTCAATATATATTGTGGCATTTCTATGATTACTAGTAGGTCATATGACTGTTGTACTTGATATAACTTTTTAAATGTTTAAACAATGTCATTGATTCATATCTATAGCTCATACATTACGCACAAAATAAGATATGTAAATTTATAACTAGTAACCATTTTCCAGTAACTGGTTTCTTGAGCAGTAAAAGCATTTTACTAGAAACTTGGTACTAGTAACTAACCATTTAACAAAAGAGTAATTTGTTGCCTTAATCAACTTATAAAATTGTGAATTGTTTATAAGATATTTTTTCATAAGTGCAAGTAGATATATTCTTGATGATATAATAACCATTTCTATTTTAAAAAGGGAATGTCCACTCATTCCCAATTCACGTACCAATTATGGCCAAATTACACTACAAAAAGGATGCCCTTTTTTACCATTTTTGAGAAAGAAAAGAACAAAGACAAGCAAAAAATCAACATAAATGTATTTGTATCTTTTAATTAACAGTGATTTAATTGACATAACTCAGTGTTAAGCCAGCTTAACAAAATCAAACAAGCTCTAACCTTGACAACAGTAATTTAATTATGAAGAATTGTTAAGCTGGCTTAACAAATAATAAAACAAAGCTACATACTAATAAATTTGTGAAAAAAACACAACAATAACTCAACTGATGTTAACTGAAGAAAAATGTTACGCCGGCTTAACAATATCTTATACGATATAAATAACAAAATTTATCATTTCATAAGATAAAAATTAACCAGATAAAATGTTATGCCGGCTTAACATTATCAAAAATCACTTTCACAACATAAAGAAAATGTTACGCCGGCTTAACAATTTCTCAAATCAAATAAATATTTCAAAGAAAATTTCAAACTGTGAGACAAATTGTTATGCCGGCTTAACAAAATGGAAAATATTTTTAATTGTAAGATAAATAATTCCATTAGATGAAGAAAAATGTTACGCCGGCTTAACAAATATTGAAATCCAAGTGGAATTACAACACAAAATTTCAAACTGTAAGTTAATTTGTTACGCCAGCTTAACAAAATCAAAAAATCATTTTCATTAGATGAAGAAAAATGTTACGCCAGCTTAACAAATTCTCAAATCCAAGTGGAATTACAGCACAAAATTTCAAACTGTAAGTTAAATTGTTACGCCAGCTTAACAAAATCAAAAAATCATTTTCATTAGATGAAGGAAAATGTTACGCCAGCTTAACAAATATTCAAATCCATGTGGAATTAAAGCACAAAATTTCAAACTGTAAGTTAAATTGTTACGCCAGCTTAACAAAATAAAAAAATTATTTTCTTTAGATGTAGAAAAATGTTACGCCAGCTTATCAAATTCTCAAATCCAAGAGGAATTACAGCACAAAATTTCAAACTGTAAGTTAAATTGTTACGCCAGCTTAACAAAATCAAAAAATCATTTTCATTAGATGAACAAAAATGTTACGCCGGCTTAACAATTTCTCAAATCAAATAAATATTTCAAAGAAAATTTCAAACTGTGAGACAAATTGTTACGCCGGCTTAACA